TGCATTGTGGTAAACTGTGGTCAATGACATGAGACAAAGTGTATGTGAACTGCTGTATGGAAAGTGAATTTGCTCTGTAAATCTTCACCCAAATCACAGTAAAAAAAAAAAGGAGTCCCTAACTTACATCCGTAGAGTCATTTGTTCAGCAGGTAAGGCCTGAACTGTAATCTGAAAGGCAACTTGATTACAGTAAAACAAAGAGATGTCAAATTTTTTAATTCCTAGTTTGTTCTCCAGCCTTGAAATTTTCCAGCTGTGTAATCAATGACTAGATTTTACATCTTGTATTAGTAAAATTTGACCAGCAGCCTCCAACTTTCCCAGGCTTATACAGGGTATCAGGCTTACTTGAAAAAGAAAATTTATAACTGACTTGAGGGCACATAACAACAACAACAACAAGTAACAGTACAGTATACATGAGGAAGATTATGGGTAACTGTGGAAGAGTGGGAAATAATTAACCTAAAACCTGAAATTTGTGTAGCATCTTAAAATATTTTCACATTGGTTATGATTCACCATTGCTTTTCTGTGAAATAAAGAATCAATATCATTATTTATCACAAAAGCAGGGCTTCCCTCCAGTTCGTTCTGGTTCAGCCCCCTGCTGAGAATTTGCCTTTCCACCCAACATATACTGATCAAAATCTACATTTTAACAAGATCACCAGGTGTATATAAGAATCACCTGGGCTCTGTAAGAATTTCCTGCTAAAATGTAGATTCTGATTCAGTGTACCTGGGACAGGAAGGCAAATTGTCAGCAGGGGTTGAAATGGAATGAACAGGTTCAAAGCCCTGCACAAAAGGAACAACATGCAGAGCAACTAGCGGATCCCCAGGCCTGACTCCCACTCAGTCCTGTAAACTTTAAATCATCTCTAGATTATTTGTAATACCTAAACTCTCAACTCACTACTGTCGAGTCGGATCTGACACATAGCGACCCCTCCTTGGGTTTCCGAGGCAGTGTCACTACAGAAGTAGATTACCCAACCTTCCTTCCGAGGAGTGGCTGGTGGGTTTGAACCACCAGCCTTCTGGTTAGCAGTCACATGCCTTAGGCACTTCACCACCAGAGCTCCCTTTTAATACCTATTACATTGTAAGTACTATGTAAATAACACTTTGCCTCGCTCTTAGCTTTTGAGAAGGAGCTCTGGTAGCACAGTGGTTACAACATTGGCTGCTAACCAAAGGTCAGCAGTTGAAACCCATCAGCTACTCCACAGGAGAAAGATGAGACAGTCTGCTTCCATAAAGATCTACAGCCTTGGAAATCATATGGGGACACTTCTGCCCTGTCCTATAGGGTTGCTAAGAGTCAGAATCGATTCAATGTCAGTGGGTTTAGTTTTAGCCTTTGAGGGATTTCTTTGACCATTTAATGCTTTCTTTTTTATTCCCCTTGAATATTGCTGATCTGCAGTTGGTTGAATCCATGGTTGCAGGACACACAGATATAGAGGGCTAACTGTACCAAGATCATC